AGGTTAAATGCTTAGTGCGCGGGAATTTATATCCAATATGCCATAAATGCTTAAAATTTTCTCCGTGAGTGGGTGTAGTGACATCTAGTGAGTAGTGGCTCCATTTATCGCCATCTAGTGTCAGGAATAGTAAGTATATTGGTATGTCTGTAGCAGATTTTTTGTTTGGTTTAAAAATATGTGCGAATGCGAATGTTTTACAAATATAAAAAATATATATCCTTCTGCTGAATAAATAACTATAGCGGAAAATTACTAGGTTCTATTTAAAAACCTTGACATGTGCACACGTTTTCAGTGTGTGGCAATAGATGGCGATTCAAAGATAGCGAAAGACTAGATTTTATCAAGTTGTAGTTCTATTGTGGAATGAGAGCTTCTCTGTAATATTCTTAAATTTATTTCTCGTTTTTTCAAACTCTATTGAGTGTTATTATAATAGGTACTATCCCTACGCTGAAGGATTCCAAAAAAAAATAGAGATCATCAACCAGTAAGAAGAACAACGCGAATGAGGAAGTATTTCAAAAAGAAATAGTTTCGGAAATCAAACTAGATGTCGCTACGGTACGTGCTTGATTTCTCCATGACAGCCCTTCCAGTTTTCTTTTATGTTTAAAAGTAAATTAGTTTTCAAAACTCAATAAACAACTCATATTCTATTTGTACTCTTTCTTTGTATTGATATCTAAGTTTTGAACTTTTCAAATTTCAGTTTTAAATATGTAAGTTAAAAAGAACGGAAATGACTGTCTTTGGTCTATTCGTTTCCTGCAAAAATCAACGCTATCGAGTTGAGGTGCTTTTTAGTGCTTTCGTTTTTTTATACTTCCTCATTCAAACGCTAAAACTTTATATTTAAAATATTAGCGGCCATCATTGACCATAAATCGTTCGCAGTGTAAATCTATAATAATGCACACAGACGTTACTGTGCATAGTAGGGTAGACTGGGTACGGTTGTGACAATTTTCATATGATCGCAAATAATTTTGTAATTAGGCTATTAATCTGAACAAAAAATGTATTATAATTTAGTTTATTCATTGCTTATCGTATAAATATTAAAGTTATATATCTAAATCAAATGGTTAATTTATAAAATGAAATTTAAGAAAAAAGGGAAATTGTCACAACTGAACCCACCCCAGGGGCGGTTGTGACAGTACGGGGGTCAATAGTGACACGATGAAAATACTGTAAAGGGATACAAAATAAGATAAAAATGCAACATGCAATGCAACAACAATGCATAATTGCAACAACAATGCATAATTGCAATAAATATTTATATATTTATGACAAAATCAACAAAAGAAATAATATAAAAAAAGTTTCAAACATTTTAATCTCTTACAACTTACAAGGCACTATAGGATCTTTGGTTACAATATCAGTCTTCATTTATACCCATTATTTACCTTATAGTATTGTATAATAATAACAGTCTGCATTTACTTTGTACTTTGTACCACGTCTTGCGACGACTTTATCAGGTCTTTGGACAGTTGTGACGCCTGTTTCGTCGACATTGTAAATATCCTGTGGCTCGTAAGTATGTCTGTCCATAACAACTTGCAGGTTGTCGTAAAAAGCTTTCACATTTGCTTTGTTGAAACTTGTTGCCCTTAAAAGGCTGGTAGCTTGAGCTACTCGAACAGATAGAGAAGGATTTCTATTCAGGAATGAACGGAACCATTCTACGCCTGCCATCTCATTCTCAGCCCAAGTAGCAGGTCGCTTTATGTTATATTGAGTTGCAAGCTCAAAAGCCAACTTCCGCACCTCTTTAGGAGCAAGTCCGAAATAAATGTCCGCGCAGCGCTGTAAATATTTTGACAACTGCTGCTCTTGTTGTTCCGAAAACACTTTATTGTGAGCGACATACCCCATGCTAGTGCTACTGATTTCATTATCGTTCATGCTGGCATTATCGCGTTTACGAATATACCTTAATAGAGACATGCGATTAACATTATGCATCTCCGCAACTTGTCGCAAAGAAGTCCCGCGTTTTGTTTCATTGTAAGCCTCTTCATACTGAGACAAGTTACACTGTCCTCTTTCTGTCTTTCTCGTGCGTTTTCTAGGCATCTTAAACAAAAAACAACAGTTTTCACTTTTGTCACAACCGTACCCGGTAAAAATGTCACAACTGTACCCAGAGATCGTTTTCATAAAAAAACACTCACCACGACAAAACAAAATAACATACAATAAATGTAACCACTGATATTAAACTGCTAATATTTGATTTATATCGATGTTAGATCGTAAGTAGATCATCATAGACACTTTATTGTTACCGATGTGAACTATTAAATTTGCGTTTGCTCACCATGAAAGTTGTACATTTGATTTGTTCCAAAAGTAGGGGAGACCTAGGTGAGTTGTGACAGAGGTGAGTTGTGACAAGGAGGATTTCTCTCTACGTATTATAATAAGCGAGATGGCATTAACGCTTGTTTGTCGTTCTCAACACGCGCTACACGACTCAGTATCTGTCGACGGTGCATGTGGCACAGTAACGTAAATATATCGTCAGTGTACACAAAATTACGAAAAGTAAGTTTTTCTTCAAAATATTATTTGAATATATATCATATCTTAGTATATGTGCATTGGTGTGTTATTTTTTCTTAAGTTATATAGTTATTTAAGTCTCAATACGTGGCACTGATTTTTGTATGCGCATCGTGTTTAGAAACTATGAATTATTATTCGGACCAAGACGTCATTTTGAACACCTAGGCGAGTTGTGACAGCCTGTCACAACTCTCCTATGTTACTCCATATTTCTGCTGGGCTATTTTACAAAATTTTTTATTAACTTTAGGTGTTTGTTGGTGTGTTAGTAGTTACTTAAGGTGTATAATGGCATACCGCATACTTATTTCTTTTTTGAGAATGCCAAATAATTATACACGAGAGACTGAAAATCTAAGAATGTTAAGAAGCGTGTCTTAAGCGAAGAAAAAAAAGAAACCTAAAAAAGCAAAATAGACTAATAAGAAGAATAGAACAAGTGATGAAGTAGATGCAGAAAATAATTGCTTTTATTTGGTTTGCCTTGAAGCCTATGCAGACAGCAGATCGAATGATCAGTGGGTCCAATGCAATGCAAAGGCTAGGCACACGTAGATTGTACTGGGGACGAGCTGCATTACGTTTGGCATAATTGTGAATCTGATTAGATTAAGATTTTATACTGATTATAACAATAATATGATTGATCTCAAAGTGATACCATATTTAGTTAATGAAAATATTATAATTACTTGTTATGAGAATATTAATACTATGTTGTTTTAGTTGGTAGGTATTAAAAGATGATTAATCAAATCAAATCAAATCAATCTTTATTGTTGATCAGGTTATATAAAGATATTGGATGCAAGGACTGAATAGTTATACCGCGATCTGCCTAAAAGGCATACAATATTAGTAGGTTAGTAATTGTCAACTAATCTAATCAATAACATGTTATGTCAAAAATTCAATTAATTCATTAAGTATTTATACATTTACAAAGTACTGTCAGCTATACTCGTTTACACTATAATATGCTTTAGCTACTAATAATTTACAAAGTTTTCTTTTAAAAACATTACAATTATCCAGATTACGTATTGTTTTTGGAATTTTATCAAAAATTTTTGGAGCCATACAAAAGATACTTTTGTTCAACAGAGCTGTCTTAGAGGGTATCGTACACAATTTGTCTCGATGACGCAATCTCGTCTTATTTTCAAATAGTTGTTGATTCTGTTTGACAAAAATACCAACTTCGAATATATAGATTGATGGCAGGCTCATAATATTTAGCTTAATAAAATATGGCCTACAGGTATCCCTGCTCTGTAAATGACATATGCTCCTAACACATTTTTTCTGGGCTCTAAAGGCAGTTATAGGATCAGTCGAATATTCCCAAAATATAATGCCGTATCGAACAGTATAAACTACGTACGCGTGATAAGCTGTAAGGACCGTGCACTGATTCGCGATTCTACTAAGTTTGTACAATGCACAAGAATAGTATCAGTACTATAATAATTAATAAGTCAAATTTATTATTATAGTACTAATTAAAGTACTGATTTGATAAAAAAACGTGCTTGATTTATTTATGTCGTATGTAATGGTATTTTTATATCTTATAGCTTTAATACAATGATGTCACAACTTACCTCGGTACCTGTCACAACTTACCTCGGTGGTAGGAGTGTTGTGACAAGGGGAGTGGACTTGAATTTTGTTATTTTTTTCAGAAACTATTATACTTTAATAAATTTTACTGATGGCTTTGAAAACAGAAGGAATGGCTCTAAACTAATTCATATGAGTCATAACTGTGGAATGTTTCTTAAGCGAGATAGAGCCCCTTATGTAAAAATTGTCACAACTCTCCTAGGTCTCCCCTACAGCTCCGAAACAGTTTACATTTCTGCCAATGCCGCTGAAGTGACATTTTTCGTCACAGTTTTCTTTTTTTAAGTGCGTTTAAAAATAAAATTTCAGTTAAAAAATGTTTCGAAAAATGACAGTAGGTCCGACCTTCAACTTGTGTTTTATTCGAAATATCAAATTTGATAATAATTTTGTAGTATATATTTTATTTCAGTAATTTATTAATATCAGCATCAGTATCCGCTAATACAGTAAAAACTCACAACAGAAACAACCCTGATGCGAATAATTAACCGCTACAATTTTTTATTTGACGGTAGTATATGTTGTACCTACCGCTTGTTATATAATTGTATAATGAATATTCTACCTATCTATGTTGTACATATTACAAATTGTGTAGTTATGTTATGCATACTCTTAAAACTCGATATCATAATAACATTTTCCTTAAAATTTCAAGCAAAGGAAAAATGTTATCGTTCGAGATTGCAGTCGGTTAATATAATTTTCAGTGATGCAAGTAATTGTAAATCGGCGTACATTTCCTAGTAACATTTTAAGTACCAACATATGAAAAAAATGTCACGATGAATACATTTTTGTTGCTATTATGTTTTGTTGCTACTGTTAACACGGGTACGTAATTGGCAACACGTAAATAGAATAATTTGAATGGGTTCTTCTTTCAATTAACTATTTTTCTTTGTAAATAAAAGATATTTATGCAGTAGCTAATTAACCTTAAACGTTACACTGGGGCTTGAAATTTGATAATATAGTACTTGATACTTACGACCTTTTATTGCTCTTCTCATCATCAGTCTAGTTATGTGTCCACTGCAGACAGGTGCTTCCTTATGGATGGCTAAGGAGATAATTTCCATTCTGGCCCAATGTGGATTGCAGGGCTTTAACAACTGCAAATGCATCCGGGCCCAACGGCTTAATGTGCCTTCCAAAGTACGGAGTAACTCGAGATAACAATTTAAGTCACTCATCCTGTAACCGACCCTTGCGAAAGTTGGCCACGGTCCGCGATCATAGCAACAATCCATTGCGGTACCAAGATAGATAATCATATACCTATTTATCACTCCATCTTATAGCTGACAACGTGATGTTTTCTTGTGTTCTCCATGATATTTCATGAGAATACAAGAAAAATTAATGAAAAGATTTGTATAGTATCATATAGAATCGTCCAACATTTTTTAACGGTTCAGAACGTCCTTTGGCTCTTAAGAAAGCTCTGTAGTCAAAGAGAATTATCTGTCACTCACTCTGAATCCCGTCTGATTCTTATCTGTCATCTAACTAAGGGCTTATATGTATGTTATATATTAATATATATGTATTATAGAATTTAAAGTATCTTTGTACTTCATTTATTCATTAAATATAGGTAGAGATATGATATCATGATAAAGTTTGAGACACCATAAGCTACCCTAAATCTAATCTTAAGTAGATATAATTTTCGTTCAGTTCACAAGGTTGCCTGGAAGAAATTACTTTTTAGTAATAAGGCCGCCAATTGTTTCTGTCCATTGGTGTACAATAAAGAATTTTTCATTCATTCATTCATTCAAGAAGAACAAGCAAATAAAACTCTTAGATCTATTTTAGATTACATCGACTATCTCTTTTGTTTTCTTCACTCTCTTGTAAACTGCTACCTATAATTGGCTACTCGACAGATAAACAATACATTATGATAGACATTGCAAAAGGTAACTTCGATATAAATAACTACGTAGTATTTTTTGTTTTTAATTTGCTATTTATAATCTGTGTATTCCAACAACCGAAACGCACGAGTGACGTCACATTTCAATAAACTAAACGTCAACTTCTCTGTTGCGAGAGCTACCAGAGCCACAATTCTACCCATTTTTATGTAATAATCGCATATTAGAATCTCAACTATTTGCCATTGCACTGTCTACCTGAAGTACAATATTACTAGTGCAATTTCTTTGTTACAAATAAATCGTGACAAATAATATATTTATTATTATGTCATCTAATAATAAGACTAGAATTTTTAACACTTTTTGAAGAAAAATAAGTATGATAATGGTTTAATATGATTTTAAGGAAGTTTTAAATACTTTTTCCGCAATATATTAGTTAAGTTACCAATTGTGAAATGACCTCAAGAATGATGAGGTGTTTGCCTTGATTTGTAATCTATCACTGTATTTATGTAGATACTTTAAAGAAAGAGAAAGCTAAATTTGTACATTGTTCACAGAGCCTATAAAATACATGCGGGATTTACTGAAAAATAACACACATAAGACACGACGGATACTAGACGGGAAAGAAGTCGGTGAAACAAGACCTTATATGGTAAAACAATGTACACACAACGGCAAAATTTCCATAGTTAACTTTGCACTTTATTGTCAATTAATTAAAACTCAAACTCATGCGGAGAAAGACAAGTCTTGCAATTTTCATGCGTTTTTATAATTTCACATTGAAATATTGACCTAATGATTGAAGAAAGGAAGGCCTTAATGCTTTTTCTAAAACTAGTTTCTTTCTAAAGTAATTGCAGCCGCTAACATAAAAATATTTTAGAAGTAACACATCCGAGGTAAAAAGTGTGAGAAATACACAAAGGCAGTTTTCCAGCTTATCTGCGTATATTCATAAAATAAATAAGTATCTACTTATTTAAAATTTTATGGCTACTAGCTCAGTTTACTATACCAGAGAGCTTTTTTTTGTTTCTTATTATTAAAGAAAAATAAAGGAAAATACATTACCTGCCGTCTAATGTAATGGCAGGAGGTGTGTGGGGTCTCTCCTCTACTAACGGACTTTGAAAGTACATTTAAAGGGCGGAGGCCTATCTAACAAAACCCTGGGCCTTCCCTGCCCCACGAGTGGCACCCGGGTACCACCCAATTCTACAATTCTTGGGCCGCAGTACTGAGAACAGCTCAAAGATTTTAGAGTTAGCCACTTTTTTTATTAACGCAGGGGAAATGAACCTTATACCTCAAATCAGGTCTCTCTAATCATGGGGACCTGCCTCAAGGGGAGAATTGTAGTTGAGCTGTTTAATAAAACCTGCTCGCATGTAGTGTATCCCGCTTGGAGAGCACCGGGCAGCTCTTCTCTGTCGCTTCGCTCTTGGCAGAGCATCCTCTTGATCTCCCTCTCTGTTTGCAGACTGTTTGGCGCAATCTTACACCCGGTTGCCTACAGCGCATTTCACTTGATCAGTCTTGTGCTCTGAACCGGACAGTTAGCCACCTTGAATGGATAAACCATATCTGTCTAATTTGTTTTCCCAGGTATATCTAAGACCAGGTTCGTCGTCCGATCCTAATGTACAAGATAACAATTGGTTATGTGGCGGTGTTATAGTCCACGAACGTTACATAATCACGTCTGCAGCTTGTATAGAAGACGTAAAACAATTTTACGTGGTCTCTGGAATGCATAGGTACATCATTTTTTTCATAAAAGATAATAAAATCATTGTTAAGTTTTAATACCGAGTGTCACACCTTCTGTCAAAATCGTAACTTCCATCCATATGGGAATGCTTTCCACAATATTTTTGATACTAATAGTTGTTTATTTATGTCAAAAATTAACAAAATAATGAACAAAAAGAAATGTAAATTTTATAGCTAAAGTTTTTTACAATTCGCTGTCTATTTAAAGCAATTTTCATTGAGCATATTTTTCAGTGTAGCAGTGTAAAAGCGAAATTGATCAAATATAATAAGTCATTCTTAGTTCAAAAATTGCAAATGATTAAAATCTTGTTACATTATCATATATAACGCTAGATAATCTAACTTGGGATCGTCTTTAAAATTACATATCACAAACGGCCAGTTGCACAAACGTCAATTAAAATTGGCATGAGTTTAAAGCTACATTACACATACAAATTTGACATTCATTTGAGCTTACAGATTTCATTAAACTCTAATGAATGTTTGTGCAACTGACCGAACTAACATATTGAAATAACTCCTTCAGGTGTATTTTTTTACATTAGAACAGTGCGATATTTCAATATAACAATTCTTTAGAAAAGGTATTAAATCTTAAGTGCCAGTTGTTAAACAGCTGATAAATGACATTTTGAACAAATGGAAAGTGTCCCCGACATCGTGTGGGATAGAGTAGTCAAAATGTAACATAAATAATAAATTATTTGTGTTTCTTTGTTTCAACTTAAAATATTTAATCACGCTCTTATATTACAAGACATATAAAAAAGATAATATAGCACATATTTGAGCGCAGAGTCTAACCAAAAAGTATTAAGGTTTCCAGTCAATTTCTTAGATGGGTTCCAGCATCAGAAACTAGCGACGAGTGTATAACCTACGGAGCAAAAAAAGCAATCTGGAAGTGTGTACCCAAGTGTGAGTACGTACCTATGATACCTATCATAAACATATTTTACTTATTATATAATGTCTCTACCATTGGCACACAGACCTTTTCTAGACTTCTAATAAAATCACATAGAAAGACTTCTAATATCCCATCGCGCAGAGTCCCTGTTCTAGTGAAAACTAATAGCTGCAGTTAATAATTATTGTTGCTAAGGGATTCCTGAGTGGTAAGTGTAAGTTTTAGGTTAACGCATTCACAAGTGTGCATGTTAAGAATTCATATGGAGATTTGTAGTTAGTTCTTGGTAGTTATAGCTAGGGGATACCATACTAAAAAAATATCGCTCACGTTCGAGGGTGACCGCAAGTAAAAAAACTTAGACTAAGCGCTTAGAATCTAATACTAAATGTAAATTATTATTATTAGGAAAATAATATTAAAAACGCATCAAGTTAACTATGATTTCTGTCATAGGAAAGTCATAAATTCTGTTCAAAATGCAAATTTTATCCTAAACCTATGAGTTATGACATCACAACTACATTTTTCGAGCTATTATTGTATTTACTGAACTTTGTTCTCATCTTATTTAGACTCAGATTCTATACGTATGAAAATTGAGAATATTTAAGAGATTAAAAGGCAATAAAAGATCAGACTTCTCACTTTAACTAAACTTTCGAAAACATTAAATCTAAGAGAACTTAAACGTAGTATTAGATAATGTCAGCATGAACGAAAAAACACTTTTCAGCTTATTTTTTCGATGGAAACGAATTTGATAACATCCGTTGGATGATCAGAGACATAGCCGTCGTTAAAGTGGAGGACAGTTTCAACTTTAAGAGACGTGTTAGAGGCTGTGATTTCATCCCAAGTAAGATAGCCTATAACAACATCAGTGAAGAGTTGGAGAAGGCAGGCACGATAGGCTCTATTGCTGGCTGGGGATCGACGGAAAACTTTGTAGATGTAAGTATTTTTATAATCATTGATTATTATCAGCTTTTGAAAATATCTACTGTTAGAGAATATGCATTTTCTGGGAAGAAAGTAGAGATCATAACTCCCACTTAGGTAAGTTAAGAGTATACAAAATGTATTAAGACCATAAGTATAATATATTTTGAGAACACTAAAGAGCCATTAGCCAAAGATCTTAGCTACCAAAGTGTAAAAAATAATGACAGTATAAATGAAAGACAAAGGGAATGCTATTTTTTTGTATCAAAAACGAAAAATTTTAATATCAACCCTTGTAATTTGAGCTTGAGTAGTACAAACATTGAAAGATAAGTCATTGTTGATAGTCGATACTAAGCGAAAGATTCGTCTTGAAAAGTGTACTTTTTTAAAGTTCGTGTCGATTCTGGAGCGCTTTAAAATGAAAAAAAAAGCAACTAGACTTTTTTATAAAGACATGCGCGTATTCCACAGAAACACCGGTATATTTACTTATTTGGATCCACCTATTGGACAGGCCTATGCCCAGCAGAGAGGACGTTGATTAGCTTAATGATGATGTCATAAAGGTGGATGCCACTGGCAGGTAAGCACACAGTACCTTCGGACCACGTGGACAAAGCCGCGGGTTACAGCAAGTTATGGATTTAATTGCTAAAAAGCATTGAAGGCTTGGCCATGTCCGTCAGTATGTACTATGTTATACCTTTTCAGGTTCTTGATGTAGGAAGAGCCACAGTGAATTCCCCAGAATTGTTAGAAGCGGATGTGGTGTTGCTATCAAAGAAGAACTGTAAGAACAGATGGGATCCTCGGTATCATAGCGTCATAGACGAGCATATGATATGCGCTAAAGATAATATGGACATGGATTCTATGAGCGTTTTATGTACTGTAAGTAACTAACAAAATATTTCTGATGAATTAGTATAATCTTTCTTATTATCTATATTTCTTATAATTCCATTAGAAGTTAAAAGATAATAATGTCTAACATGTGAAGTTTGAACGGTTATCATGTTTCGAATTGAAAACTGTATTATTTGGTGCTATTTTTAGGGTTCAGTACCTATAGGGTATAAAGGGGAACTTTATTACTAAGACTTCGCCGTATAGCTAATGTCTGTCACGAGGCTGTATATTATGAACCATGAAAATTAGACAGTTGTATTCACAGATGATGTATTTCTATTACCGCTATAACAACAAATACTAAAGTAGAACAAAATAACGGAAATATTTAAGGGGACTCCCATACAACAAACGTACTCCTACTCGTTTTCGGCTCGCTTTCTTGGGCGATTCCGACTCGCACTTGGATGTTTTTTTATCTTAATATAATATAGCATGACAGATGGATAGTCGCGATATTTTATTTGTTTTATTATACATATAAATCTGTATAGGCAAGATAGTTAAAGTTTTGATTCGATCCTAAGAGATACGGCCGGTTTCTGGATTGAGAAAAGCACAAAATCTCAACTTATTATTCTCAATAACTTAAGTTTTTGACGTTTCATATGGCAAAAAGTCCTAGTTTTATCATATTACCATCAACTGATCATTAAAAAATATAAATCAGTAATGAAAACCTCTTTAATTGACGTTTAAAATGGCTTAAGCACGGTTTGAGATGTGCTCTAGTTCAAATTCTCAATTCAGAAACCGAGTGTAAGTCTTGTTAGGGTGAAGAATTGATTTTGGGCGACCACACTCCCTAAATACTTGAACAATGCTTGTAACAGCCGTTCCGAATAAATGATATTACATTTGAATTTATTATACAGCAAGTAGTGCTATAACATCATAAAGGAACTATTAATATACAGGCACAGGAGGTGAACTGCACCGAACTTATATATTCTGATGAAGACGATCAAGAAGAAACAAGACGTTTTGTGGTAAATCCTAAAAATACATTAGTGCACACGTCAGCTCATGGATCTATAAGAGAAACGAGGAGATCGAAGGTGTCCACTGGTGGATTTTGTGAGGTAATTATATACATATAAATGTTGCGGGCCAATCGTTGAATTCGGCCGATTAAGACCTGCCCGAGCATATTACGTTATGTCGCCATTTCATGTAGTTTTTGTGGAATGGGAATTTAATAAACAAATAGACAGTTTATTGTACATACAAATAGGGTATTATATGTATACTCAATTTGTATATAATTTTGGACACCTCTCTTTTGCCTGAATAATTTTCGTGTAAAAACATTAAAAAAATAAATACAAACTATGTGAAATTTAATGTGTATTGTAAGGCATAACATATACTTTAAGCGAGATCTCAAAAACTAAAATCATTTTCTGATTTTGATTATATCTGTTCGACTTAATAAAAATCAAGAAATGTTATTTAAGACATATAGATTTTTGGCTTATGACAACAGAACATGTATCTAAATAAAGTCGAACTATTTCCAAAGAAAATCTAATCGCTAGTGCGTACGCTGTGTATACACTCTCATTCGTTTTTAATACAAAAATTCAGCAATTTTTTTCATAATAAGACTGTACAAGTATATACACTATCGTTATAATCTGAAGATCTGTTTTAGAATGATCACGGTGGCCCTCTTGTAGTGGGGCGAGGGACAGGTGCCATGGTAGTCGGTATAATTTCAGCTTGTCAGACATTTGACCTATCACACAAGTGTCATGGGCCATTCCTTTACACCAGTGTCTATAAGAATCGTCACCTCATCAATTGCGCTATCACTAAAGAGATGGGGTAAGTTTAAAGTTCATAGTTACCAGCACGCGTAGCGCGATGAACTCGAGAAAGCTATACTTACATCCAAATGCCTCGGGTGCCCATGCGATATCTCAATCTCGACCTGATAAAAATGACATTTAAGTGTCCTGTGTGTGTAGCATAACAAACCCGTAAAGAGTGTGTCATGCTATACGTGCAGGATGAATTTTGTATACAAGGAGTTATATTATTGTGTGCCAGGACTTCGTACGGTAGATGAGTTAAACAACTTTTGCTAGAATAGCAACAGTGAATTCACAAAAAAAATCAGCTGTTTCGTACAAAATTGTAATGCCTGCAATCGCCAAGTGTAAAACAGCTGATATTTCTTTCGTAAATTTAGTATTGCTTGTCTAGCAAAAGTTGTTCAGTATATTTTACTCATCCACCTCAAGGTATTCTGGTATATAATAATCTTATACCTTATTATTAGACCGAATGAAATATTGTAAAAGGTTGCCAATGTCCAGAAATGATTTAATATTAGTACTTTTTAATTAGAATTCCTGCAGTTGGATGACCAGTAGTAAAATGGGTTTCTAATTTTAAGCTATTTTTCTTGCTTTCCGTACCTCAAAAGGAAACAAAAACGAAAATCCAAAACAACTGAAAAGGCTATAAAAATATTCTTAATGACAAATGTTTAAAAAATCCACTTCGTCCCTGGTACTCTGAGATAGGATTCGAACTCACGACCTTTCTCAATACAGGTGAATGCTTTAACCACTGACCTAGGACCTAACAGGACTGACGAATCTTTCAAGCACTTGTTACACTACTATTAATCAACAATGTTCAGGAAATCCACCCAAAGAGTCGAAAGTTTTTTTTTTTAAGATATAAAATTATGTGGTTTTTGCATTGAATTGTTATTATTTATTGTTTCTAACAGGTCCACGTGTAGGAGGTTACTGCGTGCGACTAAGACTCAAATAGCAGAGACAGTATTCGACTGGTCAATCAGGTAATTGAATTTGAAAATATAAATATACAATAATAATTTGTAATAGGTTCTAGTGGTCTCTCCGAGCCCTGATTTGACATCTCATGTCTCAAATAGATCAAAGCTGGTCTACCTGATAAAAACTCCTCCCGGGATAAATGATCCGGACCCAATCCCACAGACTTAGTAAAATGATACCTACTAGTTTCACATAGTAAATTACCACTTAAGATGCTAATGATTTGAAAGAAGTATCAAACATTTAAATATCCTGATCCAAACCTACAAAATTTTGCTTTTATAATAATACTAGCTTTTGCCCGCGACTTGTTCCGCATAGTATAACTATACTATATACCCAAAGTAACTATATAGATTATATACCCAAAGTTACTATTTTGGGCAGCAATTCAAAAAACGCTAAAACAAATATTTACAACACTTTATAATTTAAAATACTTGAATATAAAGTTCAATACTTTTATGATAGTAATACTTAAGTTAAATGGGCTTACAGTGAGTTGCACAAACGTACGTTAAAGTTCTCATTAGTTTAAAGAGACATTACCTATACAATTTTGACATTCATTAGAGCTAAAAGGCGTCATTAAACCTTAATGGACGTTTGTGCAACTGGCTGTTAGTGAGTTAGGCGTAATAGACATAAACACAGGCGTACTTTAACTTTAATAATATTAGTATGGAGTAATTAAACGAGTCACCTAGTCGCTTGTTATATCATATAATAAGAGATAACGTAAGAAAAGAAATGGTTCTTCCATATTTCAAGTTTGTACGACTAGCGGTTTAGGCTGTGCGTTGTCTGTCAGTATGTCAGGATATCTCCTTTTATATAATATTGTATATACATATTATGTATATAGATAAGGATGAAATATCATGCATGATTTTCATTTTGACTTCAAACATGCAACTACTCTGAGAAAATTTTGAGAAATCTACTTTAGCGTTTTGTAGTAACCTAAGTAAGTAATTGATAGTTTTTAACCTTACCATTTTTTATTATTCATTATTTTTAAATAATGTTAGTCTTGGATTCTGATTATTGAAAAATGGGTTTTCCGGCAAAACGAAACACAATAAATCAAAGAAAACGGCAACTCTTTATGTAGTTATGGAATATCCAAATACCTTCAAAACATGTTATGTTATTTTTCAGATCTCATAATTCCTCAACAACTGATGTAACACATGATGTCACCAGAAACAACAGTAACACAGTCGTAACAACTAAGACGACCCTGGTTTAAATAAGAACCATTAAATTTTCATATTAAAAGTATTCATTAAAACCTTGTTTTAATTTACAATGCGATCAAATGTACATGACGAGTTAACATTACTTTTAACCCTTTAACTGCCAAAGCAAACTGGAAAATCGTTTTGTCAAGGTCTTTCTCGGATCAATAGTGAAATGTTGTATTGGATTACCCGGGAGAAATGACAATTAGACACTTGTTATATTTACATCTAAGTGTTTAAATGTCATTCAGTCACGAAAATTGTGGCAAATGGCTGGAAAACGCAGCTAGAAATAAAGCAATACCCAACTACAAAACAAACTAAAACTTAGCAATATAATACTTTTTTTAATAACAGGATAAACACTTGATATTACGTCAGTGGGGGTTAAAGGGTTAAGACGGTAAAAACATAGATTAACGCGCAAATTTTAAGTCATCTAATGAAAAATGTTGAATTTTTTCAATTAGGTAGGTAATACCTACAGATCATAACTTAAGTGTATGTAATAATTCAAGTTTTAAATAGCTTTAGTACCAAACATAGTTTAAAATAAGTACTTATTTTATTGTTTCAAATGACAATACAAATAAAACAAACTTGAAATGTGAAATATGTGGCCACCCAAGTAATGTACTATCAGTTTTATCACTATTTTCGTTGGATAGGAGTAATTATATCTAATTTTTAGGGTTCCGTTCACTTGGTTGTCCGTGCGTCCGTCGGTCTGTCAAGAGTTCTCAGGAACGCGTGTGTAGATACTCAGGTATTCTGTGCCTTCAAGCTTTGAAAAAGATCAAACTTCTAAGCCAACACATTCAAAGATTTATGCCGCAAATTTTCGAAACATGCAAAGGAATCAAAGCCTACAGGGCACTTCCCCTTTACTCAGGAAAAATTGCGAAAACCGTAAACTTTTAGTTGCATCATATAATAAAAATATATTTAATATATACCTACAGGTTCTGTTCGAAACCTTCGGTGCGCGATTCCGAATCGCACTTGGACGGTTTTTATGTTATTTACCTTTGTTCAAAATTCTACTTTTACTAACTAATTTATAATTTATGTGTATTTGTTATAAATATATGAGTAAGATTTTTTTTTTCTTTACATTGGAGAACACAAGTCTATGCTTGTGTTATACTTACACAACTAGATAAAATTATTAAAAAGATATTAACATATTGATAAGTATAAAATCAACTGGCAAAGGCAAAATACAAAAACATTAAATTTTATTTATTGTGTATTCTACAAAAATAAAAATGTTTTATAAATTAATAAATAATCATTTCTATCCAAAGTCAAAGGAAGTTTTACTAACTAGTCGTATAAATCTAATCAACACTTGCTTTCACCGTGAAATCGAAAATATAGAATCGTTCACTTACAATCATCTTTTAATATTTTGTATTCATATGTTATACAATGATCTCTATATTGGTTAAATGTGTTTCATTTATAAATATACTATACTTAGCGTGTTTATTTAAAGGTTTGTTAATTTGTTATCAGAACTATATAATTTTGTTTGAGATGGTTCAAAATATTTAACGTACAAGTTTGATAAATTGAGACCATGTTATGATTCTATAATACCATATCCCTTCAGCAATACAATAACTTTTAAGAAAGCACTTAAATAGGACAAGCGGCATACAGAGAGCTAAGTTCTTCTTGAAAAATTTCTTTGTCATTTATAAAGAACAAATTATAAGTAACTATAATAACAATTTAATATTAACACTATTGTCAACACTTTTTTCTGTTCTGTGGTCAACATCAGACATATCTTCATTATCAAACTAAACAATACACCATAATTATGCTATATGCAATATTATCGTATTTTCAGATGTGATAACACTCCATGTAGCTACTGAATTACCAGCAGATGTCCAAGAAAAGTTGAAGAAAACGAATGTTACTGAAATTAGAGACCTCCTTAACAATAGCAGAAGGATAATCATGGGTACAGAAGCACATGCTAGTAGACCTTATATGGTAAACTTAATTATGTAACTCCTTTCAGTTTCTCTCCAGACAAACTCTTCCATAGAGGAAGATAGTTCTTCATTCGTAATGGTATTGACATGCTAGATATTGATATTAAGGCAGATTCTGAATATGTTTACTTGTAACATTTCGTCGTCAACTGCAGAGGATAAGGCTTTGGAAGGAGAATGGACGATGACCCTCCAGGCTGGCTCAATGTGGACTGAACGTTATTAACGACTGCAAATGCAGCCGAGGCCAACGGCTTTAAGTGTAAAGATAATAATATTATTGGTCGCCTATCCCGTGACCGACCCTCGCGAATGTAGCAAGGTACATCTGTACATCAAAAAGTGTGCTTAATAATGACGGCAGAGGGGTAGCGTACCTTGGAGGGCCCTGCACAAAATTAGTTGTGGGCCCATATGAAGGGAACCTCGAATCATTGATATTACTCATACGGTGGTGCCTCTGAGTGAGGCATATAAATCAATACTTGATCTTTTTGGATTATATTGATGAGTTCCAGTTAATCGCGTCGCTGAAGATGTAGCAGATGCGCACCATAGTAAAATAAAAGGTACAATCATGATATGATCATAATCCTAGCATTTGGGAACGTTGAAACAAAAACAATAAGAACCCATTTCTGTATGGCAATGATTCCATTAATTCTGTACTCAACTTTTTATAATATAATGTTAATATTATACAGGTATATTTACGACTGCCCCAAAGTAATCCAAAGTACAAAGATTATCGCTCATGGCTTTGCGGTGGGGTAATAGTACACGAAGAATACATTCTCACATCTGCAGCTTGTATTGAGGATGCTAAATATTTTTATGTAGTATCTGGCACATTCAGGTACATTTTTTAATTATTGTTAAAATAGCAAATTCTTAAACATACTCGTATTTTTCCATTTAAGTTATGAACTATCGATCAGTTGCATTAATGTCCATTGAGGTTTAATAACGTCTTTAAGCTAACTAAAGAATGTTCTAAATTTAAAGGGATAATTTTAACGGACATTTGTGCAAAGGTGGGCAAATCATGTAATTTATCAAGTAATGTTTGTTGTTTCAAAAATATAAACATAGACTAGATAAAAATGAAAAGAGTTTTCTGTATTTTTAACAAAGTCTTATATTAATAATTGCATTTAACTTTTGGATTACGAGTAATTACAATATGATCATGGTCAAGATTGCTACTTATAAAGAAATAAATTACAATAATCTTCAATAGTAATATTTTTATTTAGATATAACGCAGAAGAAGACAATTACAATAATCCGTGCATAAAAAATGGTGCAAAGAAAGCCATTTGGAAATGCATTCCAAGAAGTAAGTACCATGTGGTGTAAAATCATACTAAATTTATATATTTTATAGATTCCATCAAAAACAATGATTAGATATAAACAAAAAGGTTTTTTTACCTTGTAGATTACATTTTCGATGGTCATGAAAACGACAATATTCGTTGGATGAACAACGACATAGCAGTTGTTAAAGTTGAAGACGAATTTGATTTTACGCGACGAATAAGAGGCTGTTCCTTTATACCTAAACCTATATGCTATAATAACCAATCAGATAGATTAGAAAGCCCCGGTACTGTAGCGTCAATAGCAGGATGGGGTAGTATGGAGAGATACAATGAAGTAAGGATAACACTTTTCTTAAAAAGCCGCTTTTCTTAAAAAAAAGCTACATTATCTGATTCAGTAACATGTTGTTTAGTTATTTGCTCACTTCTTTTGTTATCTTCGAACTCTTCTTTTTGTTCTTATCGTGTATTTTAGTTGCAGATTTCTCCAACTTTTTTTAAATATTTATTTTAGGGTTTCCACTTGCCTTCGTTTTTCTCCTTTTTAAAATTGCTTATTTATTTCTATTACAAACTGTTTGCTTTTGTAATATTAGTTACTTTACATTTCTTAGCGGTATCTCCACAACCGGGTCGTTTACACACCAGTTTCAAGGTGTCGCCATCTCTGAGGTTATGGGTTCGATTCCCGGTTAGCTATTCATCTTGGAATCTGAGCAATATATGTAATTATTATTTTTTCTTCCATCCGTGTTACATATTGCTTATTTTGCACTTGTCTACCTAACTATAATATGTCCTTATTTCAATAATATTATCCTTTTATTTTCTTAAAACTATATGGGCCGTCAACCTGTAGAACAGATGTTAGAATTGCTATCCCCATTTGAAAGTCATCACTACTTTTAGTTGCAGGACAGATTAGTTTGTAATTTTTGGGGTTCCATGCTTCAAAAAGAAAGAACATAATCCTTGTTAGTTTTTATAATACCTAGGTACGTGATTAAAACCCTAATTTCGAGACCTAGTGAACTTTTTAATTTCTAGATTTTCTAGATGTTTTTTTGCTGATGATAATTGTAATTGACCCAGATGTAACAGTTTTAAGAAGTAATTATTTTTATTTTAAAAGGTTATTCTTATTTAATTGATTGCCGCAAAATACGCATATTTCGACACTCTCGACTTAATCAAAATTGGTAGGGTCCCCTTGACTAAGAACTGTGGAATTTAGTCATTATCATCATTTTTTAGGTACAACTTCAAGGAAGTCTAAAATCTATTCTTATTTATTTAACTCATGATAAATATGGTCTGACTTGTTCTTGGTCGCTTTTTCATGTTAGTTCACGTGTAGAAATTTTCCCTTGTGAAGATAATAAACATACAAATATGAATTATCACATATATTCAAATTTGCTTCATATTAATTTGCTTATATTAATTTCTTTAGTAGGTAATATCTAATTTGTTGTCATAACACATTAATAATACCACTCATCTATTTTAGGAGAATAATGTACAAGATCTCATAGAGTCTGATGTCACGATCATTTCTAAAAACAGATGCAAGAGACGTTGGGGTAAGAGATACCACAATATCATTGACAACTACATGATTTGCACCAAGGATCTAATGCAGGACCCCAGCGAAGTTTGTCGGGTGCGTAACATATAAAAAATAATTTTAATGTATAAATAGTTATATATGCATAATACTATATTTAATATACTATATACATAATACTATTATTAATGATATTTCATCTGTATCCAGAGGTCGATAATCAATTTTTTTTATAACCAATAGATAACCAATTAATTTTACATACCTTCCTCCAGTTTGTTTACTACTATTAAAATTATCCTAAAAATATTATAACTACAATTTTACTAATACTCAATAAAATATGAAATGAAACCTTTATAAAAATGTTTTGCCAGCGGGCAAGCGGCTTTAAATTATAATTTATCAACAAATCGTGCAATCGTCTATTAAATTGTCCAATTGTCTTTAGTTTAAAGCAACATTACCGATACAAATTTAACATTAATTATAAATTAAAGTCGTTATTAAAACTTTAATGGATGTTTTTGCAACTGGTTGCAGCTTCTTTAAGTAAAGGAATTCTTAAAATCTGTCCCGTTATTTCGTATTATTCAATGTAAACAAATAAACTATAAAATCTTACGTATTTATAATATTAGAGTAAATATTAAAAAAAAAAAATATTAAAATTTTCCTTGTTTTTAGGAAAAATACGTGGACTGTACTGATGTTGGGTATTCAGATCTAGAATCACAAGAGGTTGCAAGAAGAGTTATTGATCCGGCCAGTCTAGTTCTACATTCCGCTCACCATAACCAATCTTTTAGAAGACACCATCCTGGTGGATTTTGTGAAGTATGATCTACTATTAATTTGATTAATAATCTTGATCTCAAAGCAACATCAACACGTGGCCGGGTCTGCCGAATTAGAACTATGTTTTCTTTCAGAATGATCATGGAGGTCCCCTTGTTTATGGTGATGGTGTCGGTGCGGTTGTTATTGGCATCATTTCAGCTTGTCTGGTCAAAGAAAGAACTAATAAGTGTTACGGTCCATTCCTTTACACTAGTGTGTTCAAGAACAGGAACTTAATCGATTGTGCCATTTACAAAGATTTAGCGTAAGATTTTTTATATTGTACTTACTTTGAAATCTCATCATTACTAATCTTATGACTAAGGCAAAAGTTGTTCGTTATTCCTACTTCAAAAAACAGATTCATAATATCAAAATATTTCATGTAAAATATTGCTAAGGCTACACCATTTGGCACGTATACACAAAAAGTTTTCAGAGTGGTAAGAGTAAGAGTTTTACGTTAAGGCGTTCACTTGTGAGCACGATAAGAATTTGTATGGAAATTAGTAGTAGTAGTTCTTGGTAGTAATCGCTAGGGCGCTGTAGCGGATTCCATACTAAAATCATAACACGCTCGCGATTGACGGTGCTTACACGTACAACTTACACTGAGTGCCTAGTTTGAGTTTCACTGAGTTATACGAATGACTTTACTAGCGCGTCAATCGAGTAAACGCCAAACAGATCGAACGGTAAAAACATGCGAGTTTGAGTTTGAGTTAATTAGCCTATTATTTTCCCAATTGTAAGGACACAACCGTACATTATTATTGATAGATTGCTAACATAAGAAAAATTTACTAATATGGTCTAGACCTAAAGTAAGGGGTGTTTGGTATTAACCATTTTTAGTTTTCATTATATTTTTGTACATATAAATAGAGCTCGGGTGAGTTTCATAATAAAACTAAGTATCTATTAGACAGTTGCACACACGTACATTAAATTTATCACTGGTTTAAAGCGACATTGCCCATACAAATTTGACATTAGAGCTTAAGGGCGTCATTAAAACTTTAATGCTCTTTTAGAATTTTAACATTCTAGTAACGGTCATGTCATTATTTAGTAGCTGGAAACATACTCAATGCGAAAAATAATCATCCTATTCTACTTATATTATAATTCAAAACATTATATCAATTATCAAAGTTGTTAATTTAGTTCTCACTTCTTAAATTCAAGTGAGAAGTATTTACTTTCGTTTGCTTAAAATTCATGGAAGTACGCAACGAATAATCCAATCATAAAAACATTTTTAAATTCTGTTTCCATAAATGAATTTAGTTCTCGCCGCGAATTCTCTTTTATGTCTTCTACCGATTGAAAACGGGTGCCACGAAGTGGTAATTTGAGTTTAGGAAAAAGAAAGATGTCGACTGCTCGATGGTATTTGTTGAGTGTTTGCTCAAAAATTCGTTCACAATGTAGCCTTGTGCGAAGGCGCATTCTCTCTCTAGCCTTTTTTTCAACCGCTAAGGTGCAGGCCTCCCTCAGTTTCTGCCATCTTTTTCGGTCTTGAGCAGTCTCCATCCATTTTGTGCCCGCCAGTCTTTTGATGTCGTCATGCCAACGCATCTGCGGTCTTCCTCATGGGCGCTTCTCACCCCATGGTCTCCACTCTATCACAGCCTTGCACCACGAGCCGTGCTTACGGGCGATATGCCCAGCCCACTCCCATTTCAATTTCGCAATCCTTTTGTTGACATCGCTGACTTTGCTTTGTTCTGGTATCCATTCATTTCTTTAATTGCACATCAAAGATACCTTTTTCATAGCGTCATTTTCATATAACGTGATAAGACTTCATATAATCGGGGCCTATTCCGTTGTAAATTACCATTCCCGTTATTTTTTTTATAAATACTTCTTATCACTCACTTTAAGGGAAAAATCTATTTAGCATCTAACTAAAATTTCAAAGTTTAGTTAAAAAAGTAAAGTAGTTCCGAGTAAAAAAGTAAATAAAGTACCATACATTTCTCGAAGTCATAAGGACCATATTTGTCCCCCCTTTTTTAATATTATTCAATATATCTTTATGTTTTCGTGGTAATACCCCGTATAGGGGACGCTTTTTTATTTTCTATTTTATTTATTCCAGACAAGATTGCAATAAACTTTTCCGGTCGAGTATTACACATACTGAAGAAGAAATCAGCTGGATAGATCATCCTGACGGGTATTTGATATGATAAATAAATATAAGACAACATCACATATATTGCTCGGATACCAAATCCAATGAGGAAGTATAAAAAATTATAGTTCCCGAAATCAGACTAGATGTCGCTACGGTACTTTCTTGATTTCTCCATGACGACCATTCCGGTTTTTTTTTCATCAAGTAAAGTAATTTTCAAAACTGAATAAACAACTTCAATAAACAAGTTTTCGTATTTTTATTGATATATAAGTTTCGAACTTAGCAAATTTCGTTTTTGTAATATGTTAGTTAAAAGGAACGGAAATGACTATCTTTGGTTTCCTGCAAAAATCAACTTTTGATAGAGTCGCCATCTAGTGAGATGCTTTTTAGTGCTTTCTTTTTTTTTTCTTAAAATACTTCCTCATTGTCGACTAACAAAAAATCGCTAGTACGAACTGGCTTTAAAAATAAGAGAAAATATGACTTTAATTTTAAAAACAGAATTTAATTTTTATCGCTCTGTTCAAGGCCTGCAAAAAATGAACTCCACAAGCTAAGACGAAACGCCGGCAACGTCACAGAGTTCATAAATGTAAACAAGGATACTTTAGATAAAGTGGAACTTCATGAGGGTGTCATAGTACGAGCTTTATTAGGAAAAACAGAAAACCAACATAAAAATACAACTACTAGATGAAATAAGTATCAATAAATTAAACCACTGATGAAACGTTGTTTCATTTATGTGTAAGAAATATGGTTATATTTATTTCGGTAAGGGAGGGCACAGTGTTATAAAAAAAACTAACGACGAAAATATTGGTTTAATCGACTTTTGACAGACTTGGATATAAACTATTAGAATCTCTCTTATTTAAAATTATCAAAACGTGACTATTATTAGTAACAAGCTAATTTAAATGCATATAAATAAAGTAAGTCGATTGTAACACTGTGCCCCGTATCTGGGGCACTCTGTTACAGGATCAGTTCTTTTATTTTCTGGAATAAATAAAAACGCAAGGCGCGAGATTGGGGCTAAACATATTTTTGCAACGCCGTGAAATTACTAATCTTTTCATTTTGTGCCTTTCGAAGACTTATCCCAGTTTTGACCATCAGTCACTAATCTCATATTTCTTTTACCATTAAAGCCGTGATCCTTCTTTCTATAACGATTACTTACCGATTTATTTTAAAACCTAGGCACAAAACAAACTATAAATTTGGTTCGGGCCACTTGTGGCAGTGTAACACAGAGGCCCGTAACACAATGCCCCGAATGGGCAAGTAGAACAAAAAATAAAAATTGTGTTTACGATACAAAATTAAAAGATAATATGAAGCCAAGGAACTAGTAAATATATGTAAACCTTAATCACTTACCTAATAATAATATATAGATTTTTAATTAAGTAACATCAATATGCGGTATAAACTGAGATAATGAAAACTGATCCAATATGGCTATCTAAGAACTTGACAAAACTGTATACAAACATTTTGAAAAGTAATGATGGCGATGGATATATACGCTTTGTAACAATTTGCCCCGTGTAACACTGAACCTCACATAACCCTACCGCATGCCCGAAAAGTAAACAAATAAATATTAAATCGATTGAGATTTGTTCTGTTCAGACTGCATAAAGCAGTTTTGAAAATAGAATATGTAATTCAAAATTATAATTTTCCTTTAATCGAGGCCTGTACCTGAGCGTGAGCACTGAGGACATTAATAAGCTGATGACGATGATCATACTTATTCATCATCATCATCACCGACCTATTAATGTTCCCACTGCTGGGGCTCAGGTCTTCCTTGTGGATGGACTCGAATGAAATCGAATAGGGAGAATAGGTCATGTATGTATGACGCACCACGCGAACGGGCCTTGTGCGGATTGGTCAGCAGTATTAATGGCTACAGATGCAGCCGGGACCGAAAGGTTTCACGTGCCTTCCGAAGCACGGTTTGATATACAGGTAGCTTGATACAACAAATTTTTGGTCACCCATCCTAT